CCTTTTAGGGTATATTATTTTATATAAGGAATATAATCTTACTAGGTTCAACCACCAAAAAAACACTACTCATCTTGCTTGTCTAACGCGGAGGAAGACAAAGTGATTGTCTTCGAGCGTGCCAACCTTATCTTCGTGGTGAACCTTCATCCTGGCCACGGCCCCAGGGCCCTAAACCCTAAACCCCCAAACCCTAAACCCGAAACCCCGCAACTGCCTTCATCTTTCTGGGCGCAGTTGAACCCTAGACCCTAACCACTAAACCCCCTAAACCCCCTAAACCCTAAACCGTAGGCATTCTTCACCCAACAAGCCAGCTTTGAAGTTGGTATCTGAAATCAGGCGCTGTTTTGTAATATTGCGGTTATATTGGGGTTATATGGGCATAATCGAAAAGAGCATGGAAAGTAATATGATGGATGTATGATTGAGGTTTTAGGGTGTTGCAAGGAACAACATAAACTTGAAGTCTCTTCAGGATGGTAAGGCAGCGTCTGCAAAACCCGGTGGTAAGGGCCTTTATTCCTGAGCGTCTGCATGCCTACAACAGCCACGAACCTTTTGCTTCCTTTGTGTTTTAGGGTTGAGTTCCTGTTGATTGCGACATCGCGCCCCAAGTCTCACTCTTCGTGCGAACGGTGGGCAACTTAAATAATCACGCATTGGCATGCCATCATCAGGTCTGTGGATTTCAGCTTCTCAGTTGAGGGCTTTAGGGCTTAGAGTTGTGGGTTTGGGGTTTTCGGACGTAGCATTTGCAGCTACAACCGACTTCGGTAAGGGACCGTTGTTCAGTAAGTGTGGCACATGCTTGTTTCATGCGTTGTGGAAGTCCCGCAGACGCACTTTGTCGCTGCCAAATGGCTAGTGTAGACTTCGCGCGAAGGTTAAAGAAGGTTTGGATGCAGACAGCTGGCAGCTAGCTGCTAGCTTCAAGCTTCTGAAGCAGCAGCTGAGTAGCGGCTAAAGTTTAAACCAACGTTCTGCTGTCCATTCATTCTCTCTGCGGTCCGCTGTTGAACAATCCATTTCCTACAGTCCATTCCCGGCGGTCCATTCTTGAACAAACCATTACCTGCAATACATTCTTGAATGGTCCATTCCCTGCCGTCCATTTTTTTGCGGTCCATTTTTGTTGCAGTCCATTTTCTGCAGTCCATTTTTGCCCCAGTTGTCCATTTTCACATATTAGTCGCAATGCTAAAACGAAATCAGAAGAGTAGCCTTTGAAACAAGAAGGGTTCCTGACGTGGTAGCCCAGCGTGCCTCATCGTAGCAACTATCAAGTCTTCCTGTATTCTCATCAGAACTCCTACTTTCAGAGTGTCACGCCATGTCATTGTCATTGGTTTTCATGGTTGCGTCATGACCATGTTACCAATCGGTACTTTTTTCCTCCTCAAAAAGTTCTAAACCCTAAATCCTGAACCCTAAACCCTAAATCCTAATTCCTGAACCCTAAACCCTAAATCCTAATTCCTGAACCCTAAACCCTAAATCCTGGACCCTAAACCCTAGATCCTGAATCCTAAACCCTAAATCCTGAATCCTAAACCCTAAATCCTGAGCCCTACATCCTGAACCCTAAACCCTAGATCCTGAACCCTAAACCTTAAATCCTGAACGCTAA